GACAAAAGACAATAAGAAAGCAAGATTGGATTTAGCCCTTTATTGTGATCGAGAAAAATTGCAAATGAGATATGATAGATATGGTAAGCTTGTGAAGCCTAATGCTAGCTATGCACTTACCTCAGAAAAAAAGAAACTTATATGTGCATGGTTGAAACAGTTGTGCTTTCCAAATGGATATGCTTCTAACATATCAAGATGTGTCAACTTGAATTAGTCCAAATTATTCGGGATGAAAAGTCACGATTGTCATGTTTTCATGCAACGGCTAATTCCAATTGCTTTTCATGATTTATTGCCTTCTGCAGTTTGGGGTCCTTTGATCGACATTAGTAACTTTTTTCGTTTACTCTGTTCGCCGATCATCAAACCTAATGAGATGCAGGAGTGGGAGGCAAAGATTGTTGAAACAATTTGTAAGTTAGAAATAATATTTCCCCAGCATTCTTCGATTCTATGGAACATCTTGCAATTCATCTTCCATATGAAGCCAGAGTTGGTGGTCCTATTCAATTTCGTAGGATGTACCCATTTGAAAGGTAAATTATACAAAGAAATTGAAAAAATTATAATTAACTATTAATTAATTTTTTTCAATTAATTTTATTAATATAGTTTTTCAGGCTGATGCGCAAACTTAAGAAGACCATAGGGAATAAAAATCATGTTGAAGCATCAATTGTTGAGGCATATATATTAAATGAGATATCCCAGTTCTACTCTCGTTATTTTGGGGATGATGTTCAAACAAGCTGGAATCAGCCACCAAGAAACTATAGTGGTATTGGGAGCAACGTCCCAGGTCAGTTATTCGTATTTTGTTGCCCTGGTCAATCAATAGGTGCACACTCACGTACAAGATGTTTAACATTGGAGGAGAAAAATGCAGCTGAACTATATGTTTTGCTGAATTGCAAGGAGGTTGATGGTTGGGTAACGTAAGTTTTACTCCTTAGAATATAATAACTAATATGATTTCCATAGTCTTAATTAATAAATACATATTGTTTTTCAGTAAATTTGAAGAAGAAGTTGGTGCAAATATAATCTATGAACAACTACAAAGAGTGTGAAGAAATAGTTTTGTGCAATGGTTTAAAAACATGGTAACAAATTACTAATTTCTCAAAATTTTAATTATATATTAAATTTTACTAAAATAAAAATTGTTTAATGTATAGGTTCTTGGTGGCCAATATGAAATTAGTGAACAACTTGTTCATCTTGCAATTGGCCCAACCTTTCAAGTCAATGTTTATAATGGGTTCTATGCAAACGGCTTTAAATTTTTGACTGAAGAGTATACTATGACTAGAAAGACATATAACTGTGGTGTTTGTGTTAAAGGAACCACCATCAATTCTGAAGATGAAATTGATTACTATGGTGTCTTAAAAGAGATTATTGAGTTATTATATTATGGACACTCAGGCCGACAGGAGACTGTAGTCTTATTCAATTGTGATTGGTATCACACGAGACGGGGAATACGCGTGGATGTTGAACACGGAATTGTTGATGTCAATCCAAGCTTCCAACTTTCAACTGGAAAGACATTTTGCCTTGCTAGTCAAGCACAATAAGTTTATTATACTCCATATCCGGGTACAGATAGAATTACTCGGGGATGGTTCGCAGCATGTAAAATAAAATCTAGACATCTTATTGACACCTCATCAACCTCATCTTCAGCAGAGATTGATGACATTTTTCAAGATGATGACCCCCCCATAATGCAAGGCTCTTCATTAGCTACAGATTTAGCTGCGTACCAATCACTTCAACTCCATGCAGAAGGTGTTACAGAAGTTGAGGTTAATGCTGATACATCCGAAGAAGATGAGGACTATAGAGAGGAAGAGGACTATAGAGAAGAAAAAGATTTAGAAACTTCAGGAAATAGTAGTGATAGCATTGATGAGGAGGATGATTGTGATGATTGATTGAAATATTTGTTATCATATATTATTACTCATTAAATATATGTATTGAAATTTTTTTTTATATATATTGTTTTATCAAGTTGTATATTTTTCATTTAAAATAGCATCATTGTATGAATGTTTTAAATTTATTATTCATTATTTGCCCTCAGTATTAATAACTATTTTGTTATTCCTCTTTCAGGATGTCTAGAAATCCGGCAGCTTCGGCTAGGAGGAGATCTTCTTCCTCAGGATCCCAGGGGGAACGTAATCGTGATCAGCCGCAGGTGTTCTCTAGTAGTGGCATAGCTCATGATACTGAGGGCCCTTCATGCTCGAAGGGGAAAAAAGGACGAGGTCGGAATTTGAAAGGTCTACGCCCTCCAGAGAATAGAGAGAGTAGGACCTGGGTTAAACTTACTGATGATAAACTTCAGTTTGCTGATCCATCCATTCCTCGAGCTATCACTGCCTTATGGAAGTCACGTTTTGATGGCCCACATTTCACATTTGATCGTGTCCCCAACAACAAGATTAATGAAATTTACGCTTGTTTCAAAGTAAAATTTAATTTTAGCAAGTTAAATAAAATGAATGGATTTAGCAATTTTTAATAAAATAAATAATTTAATTACTTAACTAGAATTTATTTATTTTTTACACATTTAATATTGTTCATTTTTTATTTTGTAGACACTTTACCAGTGGGACCGTGCAAATAATCTCCATGTACGAAATGCATTTATAAATTGTATGAGGCATAGATGGAGTGACAATATGAGGGATGTGAGGTTGAAGTGGGTGAAGGACCCATCTTAT